CACAGTGCTTCATAAAATAGCTCTAACTTTCCATTTCTACTATATAAGCATCTTGTTATCTGTTTTTATAGGGAGGGAAAATGGGAAAGGGAATTCCTGGAAGAGATTACAATTGTCAAACTAGCTTTTGATATCTTTTAAACAGCTGAAGCATTAATTTTTTGGCGGCACTGTCAAAAGTCTGTGAAGGCTTCCTGACTGCAGTGGAAGAAATAGTACATTTAGTTCAACTACAAGCTGTACTTTTAAAAAAATCCATATGAAAACAGACTCATTATTCATTTTTCTGTTAATATGTGGTTTTGCCCTTCAGTTTCAGTAATCTTTTTTGCAAGATCTTGCACTCTTAAGAAAGAACTGCAACTTAGAGCTAATGTTTTAATAAAATCTTGTTTATACTATAGTCAAACCAGAACAAACAAAATGAAGCTACAAATGACATTTTTATAGGAAGTCAAGAAAGAGATTCATGTGTCTGAATATTTGAGTTACAGTATGGTAGGCATGACTATTATTTCCTGTAAAGTCAAATTGTAGCTTTAAAGAAAGAAGGCTACCCTGGGAATAGAGCATGGATATGACTTGGGCCTCTAAAGAGCAGCTAGATATAAATACCTTACAATTTTAAAGCAAAACTCTCATCAAGTATTCTGAGAATTTTACAATTTTACAGAAAGATATGACCATGAGAAACCTTTCTGGAGTCTTCAAAATATCACCATGTTGAAATACTGCAAATGCCTCACTTCGTGGAAAATGGGCCAAAAATTTTTGTGAAGGTTTGCAGTGAGATAGGCAAGAGAACGACATTTTTTTAAAAGTGATCTTAGAATCCCAGAAATTAGATCAAAAAGGAAATTACCAAAGTCTATTAGATCATCTCGTATCTAAGGAAGAAAAATCTATGTAGTATATTTTACAGTATCTTGTCCAGGTCACTTTTGAATTGCTCAAACTCATCAGCTCCTCTGGTTTCCATCAGGAGAACAGACCCTCACCATAATAATTTTTTTCCTGGTAGTTAAAGTAATACTCTTTTTGCTCTTTTGCACCATTTTACTACTTTATACTTCTTTGAGACAGCTATTCCCTTCTAGGTGATCTTGGCTCTGGTGCCACTGTGATATCTAATTTAATAGCAATCCAAGTATAAAATACTAAACTAAAAAAAGCAACTGACCTTCTGATTTGTAGCCTTGCTCCCTCTGTAAGCAGGGGCAAGCTTCTGATGGAATGAGACCTGAGCTCCTGGTCAAGAGGATGAAAAATCACCATCTCACATTCAAAGACAGGCTGTATTTCATCAGTGCATGGCCCTGAGTGGAGGATGAAGATCTACTAGCAAAGCAGCCTCAAAGGTTCCTAATTATCTTTACTCAGTGTGATGGTCCATGATTTGGTTAGACTGCGAAAATTTGGCTACTATTACTTTTCCCTGCATGTTAGTGGAAGGGTGTTTAATGAGTTTTCTGTCTCCTACTTGTAATAACCCCTTTTTTTTTTAAATTCCCAAATTACAGACTTCCAGATTAGGATTTCTGGCTGGCCTTTGTATATGGAAATAGAATTCCCTGGAGGGAAGGAAGTTTCACGCTGCAGATATCCTACCTCCCAAGCAAGGGACAGCAGATGTCACAACCTCATGGATAGACTTTGTATCTCCTCTGTCCCTGAACAAAAACAGTCATAAGCAGCACACAGAGCAATTCCCAAACATACATTCACTTCACAGCCTAAAAGAATAAATAAGTGTACAAGAAGAAAGCTGCAGAGAGTCCATCCTTTAGGATGTTGGAATAAGTTTGTGAAAACAAAATTACTACCTGAAAAGGAATTTCATTTTTTAACTTAGCTGCTATTATTTCTAACTAGCAGGGTAGCAACTGACAATCATACTTGAGAAAAAGAAAGGCTGGATGAGTTTCTGGAAAACTTCTCAATGTTAAAGGCTTGTCTGCAGAGGGACAAAGTCATGTCATGAAACTACAGACACTTGGCAAACTCCTCTGCAATCTTGAGTTAGTGCCTTGTACTGCACTCATGTTATTAGTTATTGCCATATCATGTAAATCCTTCAGGACAGTACCATTTTTGAAGTACCCTTGTACTGTCAGGTGTCCTGACATTATCAAGGCTCCTGGGGATGTCAGTGTGTGGCATTTCTTTTTTGTTCCTTTACATCAAGTATCCAAGCCAATCTGAACACCACGCAAAAGGCCAGGATCTGCCTCAGGAAAAATTTAAATTGGGTTGGAAGGGAGCTTCTTCCCTCGCTGTCTCCTTGGAGTACAGGACCTCTTTACCCAGGAAAACCCTGTCCCTTACCCACTCCTGTCCCAGTCTTCACGTACGGCTTTGCATCTGAAAACAGGCGTCTGGTAGGGAGTGCTGGTGGCTGCAAGCAGATGGACAGGGACGCTGGGCTGAGTCACTGGCAGCACACCACTTGTTGAGCTGTTTGAGGTCCTGCAGGAAAAATGCTCACTTTGTGGCACTTACTTTGAGAAATACTGCCAAGAACAAAAATCACTACAAGAATTACTGCACTCTGTAGATACAGGAAACAAAACAGGACATGAAGAAAAGACTTTGCCACAGTTTACAAGAGTTGGTGCTGGACTACTGACATATAGGAGGTACCTTCCCATCTGCCACAGTACACAGAGCACACTTGCAGTATATTCCTTCTCTCTTCTTCCCTAAGTGCAAACAAATGGGTGGATTCCTTTCAAAACTAACTTGATGTCATGTTTACAAATCTATGAGCTTACTGACAACCTGGTCCTGGATCTCAACAGTCTTATGAAAGTCACTGGCCACTTGCAGGAAGGACTGAGCTGATGACTAAAGGTTTCAGAACCAAGGTCATCAAGCACAGAATGTACAGGAAGAGCTGAAGTCCTGACTCCATTCATTCATATCATTGTACACAATAACATCAAAAAGATGGAAGGCTCTTCATTCATCAAGTCAGTTGGATTTAAAAAATTATATACCACAAAAATGAAATAACAATAGCTTTTCTCACTGTTCCAGTTTTTCTTTAGACTGTACTTTCACTGCCTTACTTTTCTTCCTCTTCGCTCTTTGTTACTCTGCTCACTACAAATATTAGCAATGTTTATGAGTAACTCCTTATTTTTCCCTACAGAAAAGTAATGCCTAAGTGCAGTGACAGCTAATTCTTATTTCCTCCACGACCTGAATGAACAAAACCCAAACCAATGAAACTATCCAAGCTCTTCCTCACACAAACTGACCAAAACTGCAGTTTCCAAGTATCTAGGAACTGGTTCAATAATTTCAATGGGACTTTTTGGAAATACAAAGATCACCATGAGAGATTACATATTGCTAACTATAATAAAATGATTTTCAACTAAAACAAACAAAAGATATCATGTGCCCTGAAGATGTGAAATCACTACTCTGACTCATATTTCAGAATATTTCTACAACATATAGCTGGCTCACAGTAGCAACATATATCTACTTGTGTTTATAATTTCATTAATGACTGACCAGTCACTCTTCAAACAAAACAGTGCTGTCAAAAGGGAGTGCCATGGCAAGGTGAACTTTCTAATTTTTTCTGCTGTTCTTTCCATCTCAGGGCACCTCTTTAGTCTCAAGAGTATTTAAGTGCTGAGAGTACTTTGTCAAAATGATACAAAACTATTAAATACCAATTCATTGTTATGACCCTCAACAAATACTCAACACTACAGCAGCTGTACAGAGTGTGCAGTCATAGATCTAACAAGCGGGACAGAAATTAATTGTATTTAATCTTTAAAAAAAAATCAAAATGAAGCCCCTGATATTCCCATGTCAGATTCAGTCTCCGTTTTTGCCTCCCAATTACGGTAATTACAGTCCTGTGCCCAGTGGGAACTACTTGCACACTGAAACACCAACACACTTCGCTGGAGGAGGGAGAGGTTTGCAAATGGAGTTATTACAAGATGCAGCAGTGAATACTTTGACTTTCAGTGAATGTGTTGCATCCCTTGCTCCACAACTCCTAATTATTTTAACTAAACAGATGAGATATCTGGTCAGCAGCCTAAGTGCAGGGTGACTTCCAAGATTTTAGAGGTGGCCATTGAATAGGTGAAGGCTCTTGTGAAAAAACAAGGCTATAGCCACTGCAGTAATTGTTCCTCAATTCAAGCTGTGCCAGCAGAACTCAGTGCCTGCACTTAGTCACTGAAGGCAACAGTGTGTAGGGATATGGACCCAGGCATCCACAGGGCGTGACACCACTGCAGGGTCAGCACCTAAATTAAGTTTGTCCCCAACATGACACCTCTGTCGCAGCACATGAAGGTACCTACACACACTGCCACATGTCAGCTTGGATTTCATCCCTCTGCCTTGGCCTCAGTGCCAAGCATCAGGAAACAGCAGGCAACTTGCCAACACTTTTTCTTAGAAAACGATGACCCTTTCTGGAAACGTTTTGAAGGCCTGCAGAGTCTTTCTGGAAAGGTAATAATGCTGAGCTTTTGCACAAACACTGTAAATGAAACCTACTCGAAAATACTATCACTACCATAAAATATAATACCCCTAAAAATGGGGAGAAATTAGGTCAATTTTGGCCAAAAGATATTGCTGTGTAGCCAGGCATAATGATTCCTAGAAAGCTGAGGTAAATAATAGATATAGCAGCATCAACCAGTTAGCAAACTTCACATTTTCAAAGCACATGCCAGGAAAATCCACTGATTTTTAATGCAAATGACTCAAGATTCATCAAATATTTTTGTGCTTAAGCTTTTACAGATTTTGAGTTATATAACTAATTTGTCATGATCACAAAGTCTTACTGAACTGACTGAAAAAAATAGAAATAAAGGAAACATATAGGAATTCTATAAGGAATTATAGAAATTAAGTAAATCACAGTTCAATGAAAACCTTTCCATTCCCTCCTTTCCCTTGACCTTCCAAGCCTCTTTTAAATTGCAGCTTCTCTTCCTACTGCTTTTGCCAAATGGAATTCTTAACCAGCACTCAATTGTGCAGATCAGATGAGGAAACTCACTTCATACCCAGTGCATTTGTTGGACCAGGATCAGTCTGAAAGGAACAGAAAGGTATAGACAACCTGTATGGCTCAGAATGAGCCCATCCACACTATGACAAAACACACCTGTAAGCACAGTGTCAACAAAGGCAAAGACATGGGTTAACTGGCTCCTGCAGGAAGCCTGGTTTCATTCATTAACAGAGACATACGGGCGATTTAAAATGAAACTCCTGTTTTCCCTCTGAAGCTTTTCGAGTCTCAAAATCTTGCACAAAGCCCAATCTGCTGTCGCCTCAATGAAAAACAATAGTAGGTACTCGAATAAGTAAGACCCGCATGAGAGTTCACAAGCCCAGCTTGTGCAGAAGGCCACCTGCCAACAGGAAGAAGTGGTGAGGAAGAATTTGGATCCAGCTGCTATCCTCCCTCAGCCAAACAATGCTGCACGATAAACAGCATTAAGGATTTTTTTTTTTTTTTTAATCATCAATCACACTGGAAGTATCCATGTCTGTCATTTTTTCTCCCTGGTTGCCAGGAGAAGGGCTTGAGAGACTTCTGAGCACAAGTTCACAGAGAGCTGATCTCCTGTTTCCCATCACAGCTGTATCAAAGGGATTGAGACAGGAAGAATAAGAGGGAAAGAAGAAGAAATTACAAAGTACCTCGCCGTAGAGCTGAGTTGAGCTGCTAAATTCATCACAGGTAACACAAAAAAATCTTGTAGCTGTCTTGCAGCCCCATTTCACCTGTCAACTTCTGACAGAAAGGCAGAGTGGACAGAGAAAGAGGGGATAACAGTGTCTGCAGTCCTTCTTTTCTTAATATGAAATACTGAACACTAGGAAATTAATTATGACTGCATGCTCAGTGGGTCACTGTGACAGGTGCAACTTAACCTTAAGACCACGTAGCCTACTGCACCTTCAGATTTAGCCCAGGCAGCACCTGGGTGAAGCACTCCAATAAATCCACTCGCCGCTGATAGTCGGTAACAAAAAGGGTTAAAAAAACAACCAGACTGCAGCTGAAAATTCCACAGCATTTCCCTCCGCAGAGCTGCAAACAGCGTGTCTCCCTGGGATAAAATGAACCGACAAACTGCCCTAAAGATCAGCCAGTTAAACACATTGAAACGCCACTGCCACCGGCGGACACGGATGGCTGGAGAGCTCGGGAGAGAGCATCACGGTCGCTCGACGCTCCTCCGGCGCGGCCACTTCCTTGGCGTCCGGGAATCGCACCTTACGGCTACACGTCGGCGCCGGATTCACCGCCTTGCAGACGAGGAACCCCCCTCTCCTTCCTCCCCGCCTCAGCCCCCGGTGAACACCCAGTATCTGGGTACTACCTGCGTTTATCAGCAGAGCCATCCCGTGTCTTCAGTCATTCAAGGAATTTAACAGCCTGGAAATTCCTGTTGTCCATTATTTGAGGTCACAGATAAAAGCTAAACAGCAGCCGTGACTCCCATCAATCATAAGTCACTCACTGATAGAGCGTATGGTAGGAGACCTACTGATGTAAGCTAGTCACCAGAGAAAATACCCACTGATGACGCATATCCAGGCACAAAAATAGTTACAGGGCCCCCAAAGGGATTATTCAACAGCCTACATTTAGATATTCCTTCAAGAGACCCGCAGTCAATTTGCTGCTATTAGTTGGCTGGGGAACATTGAAGTTTAAGTTTCCTCAGCAGACATAACCACAAATAGCTGGTTTAAATAAGCTACTGCAATTACAAGCTGTTTTGTAAATTTTAACACTGCATTATAGCGATTAAGTCTAAACAGAACCACTGGCTAAAAAAATGCTGTATAGCCTTTGCCCTTACTGTTTACCAATTCCTTCTGCATATTAGTCAGCAATGAAAAGAACAATTTAAAATTGATTCACAAATTCTTAAACTAAGTTCCTTCTGCTACCCTAAAGAAATGGGATTTTTTTCTAAAAAAACCCCCAAACCAATATATGTGAAATGCTGTGGGATATTTGGTGATGCTTAAATGTTATCTGGATTGTTTTTTGCCTTAACTTTTATCCTTCTTTGCTATTTGCATCTCTACTACACAAAAAGAAAAATACGTAAATAGTTAATCTTTCTTGCACAAATCAAAACCATGTAAAGGTAAGTTACTGACAACATGCAAAACCACCATGCACCTGCTTTGAGCAGGGTCTGGGAAGAGAATCCCCAGAAATCCCTTCTAGCCTAAGTTACTCTGCAATTCTGTGCAACTGGATTTTTTGGCATTAAAAACATAATCCTCTAAATTAACCAATCAACTGGTAATCCTTAAATATTCCTGCCCCCTTCAACAGTTTCAGGATCCTTCTCATGCCCTCACAACAACAAAACTTACTAGGATATAGCTGAGCCTACTGACACCGCTGATCACAAAACACTGACTGTGCAGTTCTGGCAATATTAAAAACTTTATTTTTTAAAATATCTGATTTTAACATCCAAGCCCTCTTCAGAAGCAATTTTGGTGCTTAGGAGTCTAAAATTTACTTACTTTTTATTGAATATTTAAAATATAAATATAGGGAAGTATTTTATGGCTCTGATGCCTATTTCATCGACATATTTCTGGAAAGCATTACCTAGCCAAACAAACACTCAAGGATTTATAGTGTTTACTCTGTAAAGCAGGAGAAAGAAATGTCCCAGGGTACAAACTTCTACCTCACTTTCTTCATCTGTGATAACATTATTAAAAATAACACCAAAAATTATTTTTAGCACAACTGTTTCGCAAAGCCCTCATGTTTCTCTCATGCATCCATATGCTGGCAGTCCACATGGCCTAATTTAACAGCCCTAAGAAGAAATATTGGTGCCCTCTAGCTGATTAAACTCACCAATTTCCTGCAGACACCTAGCGCCTGTCTCTTTTCTCACCTGACATTCCCATGTCTTTCACTGGTGCCCATGCAATGCAAGCTCTGGAATAAAACAATCCACTTTCTACAGAAGATGCAGGAATCAAAACATTGAAATCCCTTAGTGCTCTCAACTCTAGGAGCTCTTACAATAGCATAAGTGTCATGAAAAATTGGAGAGGTGTAACTGTGTACGATACCACCTTACCAAGATCCAGTGAAGCATCTAAATATACTTTGTAGTCTGCAAGTTCCACGGAAAAATACAACCTGCAATTTCACATGAAACACAGAGTCCCTCACCCATTTAGAAGCAAGTATTATAATTCCCCTTTCATCAGGAGCCTTTAAAAAAGCTTATAAGCCGCATATTATGTTCTGCCACACATTCTGAAGTTCATGTAACATTAGTCAGTGATGGATCAATTTCACAACTCAGAGCTCAGGACTGCCCTTCTGCCATCACAGAAGCCTGAGCAAGCGGGGAGAGCTTTACTCTTCTTTCACTCTGACATCTGTTGAAGGGATGGACTCCCCGTTCCACCCACCATGTTCCTATCCCCTCTCCTTCTCCTGGAGACTGTATCAGGTACCACTGACCTCAGGGTCACAGCATACAGGGCCATATCACCTCACCGCTGCATGGTTATAGCAGGGACATCCCTGTTACGTCTTCAAAGCTATGAAAGCCTCAAGGCAGGGATGCTAACACATACTTTGGACACCATCATTAGTGTGACAGATGAGGTCAATGAAACAGTGTCTAAACCCCAAACAGTAGATCTCTGGGCTGGAGGAAAATCCCTGCTGAGGAAGAGCTGGCCCAGGAAATGCTGTGCATGTGGTGGCAGACAGCTGCCAGAACAGATCTTTGGCACCTTTACCAGCAGGTGCATCTAATCTAAGGCACACCAGTGGCCACCAGCTGCTCAAAGGATGCAAGAGAAGGGGAGGCTGTATGGAAAGCAGGCTTAAACCAGGCTTCAAGCTCTGTTCTCTCACTTCTTGTCAATCTAAAAGAGGTAGAGGTTGGCTGGAGCTGGCTGTCTCCATGCATTTAGTTAAAGCCATAAACATCTATGGACATCTCTAGATAACCCTACCAACGATTAATCACATTAAACATAAAAGGGAAACCAAGATCTGAAGCTAAACATAAATATTGTGAGATAGACTAACTTTTAGGGTTGCATTCATAATGCTCAAAAGGTCTGTTTAAACCTTGATTGGGAAAAAGCATATAGCCTCTTATTTCTGTGTTTGAACACCAATTGTAAAGCAGAAACTGCTCAAACATTTGTCAAGCATCAGGCTGATCCTGCAACATCCTTCTGCTTTTGGAAAGTTAACTTCTCATGTGCCATCTGCCTGTTGAAAGACAGAATGGGTTAATCACAGTGGCCAGGCAATTTGTAAGGGTCCTAGGGCTCCATTCCTCTAGCACATTACTACAACATTACAGCTAATGTTCCTTTTATACACACCTCCAGGAAAAGCATGCCACAAACTCGGTCAATACTCATTAAGGGGTTGCAATCCAAATCTCTACATCAATTAAAGATGAGAGGCTTATTTGAACAAGGAATAGTCAAAACTCTTTTGTTCACATAAAACAGGCATTTTACTCCATTTGGAAAGTGAAATGTTTGGCATAGTTCAGTTTTCTGCTTGCCCTTTTTTTTTTTTTTTTTTTTTTACAACCAGCTGTCAGTTCTGTCACTTCTCACACAGGAGACCTAGAACAAGGCTGGTTTGTGCAACTTTTTTTCTGGAAGTCAACAGACTTCTCAAAAGCCTGGTTTCTTGAAACATAATGGAACACAGCAAACTCTTGCACAGAATAGGTACAGATGTGGGAATGTGACAGATAGGCAGTGAAGGTGGTATCTACGGGGTAAAAGGAAATATGGTGGAAAAATAAGGATCTAGTAGGAGCAGCTTTTTGCTGTTTCCAGTAGTAAAAATGTGTTGCTTTTCAATACAAGGAAAAATAATGAAAACAGGTAACGGACAGAACAGGAATCACAGCGGTAACTAAATATACCCATCTAAATAAATATTAAAGAATATAGAGATGTTCTGTTACAACAAAGCTTCATGATAGATTTAAAAATGCTGTATTTGAAGTAGCAAGCTGATGAATTATCTCTTACTGGCCCAGGAGTATCAATTTGGAATATACAATAATGTCGTGTAGGAATATTGTTTATGAAAAGTAAAGAGACTATGAGCTTTCCACATAGACAGTAAAAGAACACCTCAAATTAGCAAATTATTATTTAAAATTTCTACAATTTTTGAAAAAAGGTTCACTATTAGAAAATATTGGTTCACTGAGGATGGAATAGTATGGAGCATTTAGTCACTGTATCATACAAATAAATCAGAACACTGATGTCAGAAACACATATATAGTCCGCTGTTCTCCCTCTGCCAGCACATCAGTCTCTGAGGGTTTTTCTCTCATTGGCAAAACAGGTAATATTGATTATAACTGAAAAACAAAATTAAAATATTGTAGAAGTACAGGCTCCTGAGACTACCTAATGATTTTTCTCTATTTGGAAGTAGGACTCTCATACCTCCCCTTGCATTGAAACACCTCTGAAGAAATCTAAGATGAGTAACAATGGATGGTGGTGGTGGGACTAGCGCTTATTTTAGATATTTAACATGAAAATCAGCATTTTTATTTTTGGAAATAAGTACTCTTGAAGTTAAATTTCAAATTGCCACTACCTGTTATATATTCTAAACTGGATACATTTGGTAGCATAGTTAAGAGTAAATTACAGGGTTTATGTCAAAGTTTTAAAGCAAATAAACCCATAAAACTAAAGAAAGCTGTTGCCTGAGCACCTGGAACCAGGTTTTCTTGAAATAAGAAACTACTATTTGATAGCAATAGCCTCTTCTGTGTACTATCCTATTGCAAGATATTAACTAAAAATACTTTAAAGATCTATTCTTTATCAAAATTCCTTCAAAGTATTTCTAGAATATGGTAATAAAAAATAATATTAGTCTCAGAGGTCTGTCAATATCATATGTATGCCACTTGACTTGAAGGGAACAAATAAAGTTGGCAATCAAAACTTGACAGGTTTATTCTATATATTATCCTACAGCGCCTGCATTGGCAGATAGGGAAAGAGAAACTGATGTCATCTATCCTGACTTCCATAAGGCCTCTGACACAGCCTCACACAACATCTCTGTCTCTCTACACTGGAGAGATAAGGATTTGATGGATGGGACATTCAGTGGATAAGGGATTGGCTGGATGACCACATCCAGAGAGTTGCAGTCAACGTCTCAATGTCCAAATGGATCTGTACCAAGTGGTATTCCTCAGGGATGCCTATTAGGACTGATTCTGTTCAATATCTTAATTAATGACATAGTGGAATTGAGTGCAGCCGTGGCGAGTTGCAGGATGGGGAA